TATAAATACAGTCCATTTACCATTTCCCATAACCACAGCTTGAGTGAACGACATTACATGAGACAGAGAAGACATAATGGATAACTTCTTTGATACCCTCATTCCCATGATATAAATAAAGATTGTTTTGTTTTGATTGGCTTGTTTTTAATTAAGTATTTCTTACGTTGTGTATACAATGTTTTTGAGTTTTTGTGTATTTTATATCATGTGACTCTGTGCCTGTGCTTGTAGCTCAACCTGTCTTGCCCAAAACGTCCATTTGGCAAAATGAAAAAGTTTAATGAGAGTGCTGTCCAAGTCCATTGCTTTTTTATATATTGTCACAATGACGAGATGTCATATTAAACGTGGCCAAGCTAAACTGACATATACTGTCGTGCACATTGGCAAGAGGATGAGGCGGTGCTCTCAAAAGCACTGGGTGGCCTACTTCTAGAAGTTGGCCAATAAGAAGAAAGTGGGCTTTTACAGAGGGAGGGCTTAAAGAAACAGGAGCTAAAGCAGGTTCTTTCACACAGAGGATGAACTGAGGAACTGCATAAAGGGTCAGTATAAGAAAAAAATTGAGTTTTTTTCAAACTGTGAATCATGCAAAGCTACTCTAGTGGAGTAGAGCTGGAAATGAGCACAATGGTCCCCTTTAAAGGTTAGACTGCTATCAAGGAACAAATAATCAAAATGACAACATAAAGAATACAAATTCACTAATAGCATCTGACTTTAAATATTTAATGTATAGCACATATGTGCCTACTAATAGTTTTATTAAGGTCATAAGGTATTTTACCAATTACAAATTAAGTGGACAAGAAGGATGAGCCATGTTAAAGCCTGCAGTGAGATGATGTGGACAAATTTGTTGGGACTACTGAGTCCACAACCAGAGGAGAATAACAGTCAAGTCCAAAAATGACTTAATACTAATGGTACATACTCAGCAAGGACCATAGTTTAAATCTAAGACTTTCATGATATGAAAGACAAAACCAAATTGATATCATCTTATTTGCTCTTTATTTTCTTAACTCGAAGTTACTAGTTCTTCCTGCCTCACATGAAACACATTCAGTTTAATTCATCCATTACACTGACTGACATACATGATATACTGGTTTATTTTATCTGTAAAGTAATACTGCGACAAATTTATTGCCCTGTTCATACCCGTTTCACAAGTACAGGGTCTGTATGGGCACATTAGTTACTACAGATAAATAAGAAATTGGTCCCAGTCTTAAGTCAATGCACTGAGCATGAGTGTAGTTGAAAGAATGGATGAGGCTTGTGTGGTGACTCTGAGGTTCTGATTGGTCATTAAAACCGGATGTCCAAAGCTTCAGGCCATAGGCAGCTCATGATAGGCTGCATACTGCCCAGTAACGTGATGGTAGATCTGTAAAAACAAGAACACTTGGGGAAAAAAGTACTTGCAGAAAGGTAAGTACTACGCATACTGTGCGTGTCGAGTACCCACCTGCCTCTCGATGTCAGCCAACAGGCTGCTGGCTCCCAGGCGGAAGAGGAGGGGGCAGAGCCAGTCGTTGCCTAGCTCTTCTTTGATCAGAGTGAGCCACAGCAGAGACTCCTGAGCTGTCCGGATCCCTCCTGCTGGCTTAAAGCCCACCTGAGGGAGCACATATCACACTTCACTTAAGTCTTAGAACACTCCCTTTTTTTGTAATTATGCATTCTTTACTATTTAAAAAAAAAAAGCACAAGCGACTATGAAGCATCACTGCAGTCATACTAACGTGTCTTTGCCTTTGGCTGCTGATGTGAACATATTTCTGAATATCCTCTTTGATGAAAACTTCTGTTGACTCTGTCTGCCAACAAAACTCTGCTTTAATCCACCTTCTGCCATGATGAATGTGTATGACAGCACACAACTGTCCAGTCTACAGTGTGGGGAGAAGATCCCTCCTGTCTTTTTGTCACTTATTGTAATAAGTAAAATAAAAATAAATAAAACTAGGCTTTTTATATGGTTATACAGATTACAGTTTGAGATACTTTTACCCTGAAATGACACCAGGGACGCCTTTGAGAAGCCAAATCTGTGACACGGTATATTTTAAAAGGGATACAAAACAGATTGTTTCTCTCCTCTGACTTACTGACTTGTGGTCTGGTGCCACAACATTGATGGAGTGTGAAATTCAAACAGAGAACGGAGTCTGCAAAGGGTATTTTATATTGAAAATTGACAATATTAAATTCTCTATGCTGTTTCTGTGTCTGACTTCCTGCCAGTGTGATCAGCTCGTATAGTGGAATCTCAAGCATTGTCTAGAATGGAGACAACCAGTGCCTGGCAACATGTGCATACTGACTGCAGGTGTCATAAATTTGAAGGCAACACTGCATGTGCTAGTTTTAAGGTTTGCACAGATTTTTGCTCTTGATCTCCACAGACATTGGAACAGCTAATTACTAAGCAGCAGTTCCTGCCCTTTAAAATCCCGTGGCTGGTTACTGAATGGAACTAACAAATTAGATATTTCGGCCAGTAGAGAGGAAAAACTCCATGCAGGGTCCAGCTCACTTTAACTCCTCCTCATTAACCAGAAAATATTTACAGCCTACAGAAAGCCAGGAGTAAGTACTGTACCTTGTGGCCCGTACGCAAGAAGTAGTCACGGATGGCCCTCACCATCACTATGGCAACAGAGTAAGTAGCATTGACAGCCTCCTTTCCAGTGGAGGTCTTGATGAAGTCGGAACCTGTCGGGTTTAAACAGATGACATGTAGTCTTCAACACACAGTGGAGCATGTAATACAGTGCTGCAGATATTGTCATGTTGCGATTATCGTTCATCTGTCAGTACGTTTGTTATTCAGTTGCTCCACATTCAGAACTGTACAGGAAGATTCAACATGAGATGAGCTGCTGAAGGAAGGAAGCAGAGTCAGCGACAGCGTGGCAGAGAGGATGGACAGGGCATTACTCCGACAGTCTGGTCTGGCCAGACAAGAACATATGCTGCTGCTGATGGCTAACAGAGGGCAGCTGCACGCTCATCAATAAAATCCTTAATTTTTCCTTCCCTTCCTTCACAGCCAATTATGTTTTATCAGCTTTGCTGATAAAAATAGAAGATGAAATGACGCTCTTTAATAGATTACCCACAAACTGCGGGCTGCAGGAAAGAAAAAAAAAAAAATCAGCCCTTCTGCCTCCCTGGTGTATAATGACTGTTCATTACTGAACAGAGCAAGATGAACATTTTCCAGTTCATTAAAGACATGTTCTATGTATTTTTCCAGTCAGGTCTTTTTTTCAGCCTCTCTCCCCTCGTCCTCAAACTGGCATAATCCTTAAGATTCGTTATGGGGAGTCTTAATTACCAGATAATGGATAACGGTTATTAAATGCGGGTGGCGGTAATGAAGCTCTATTCATTTGCGTGGGCAGGGGGATACTGGCAGGGAACAGCAGAGTAAAATAGCCTGCATCAGAGATTAATAGGTGAAATTATCATTCAATTTCATGAATCTCATACGCAATTCATAGGAACAAGGGGAGATTAAGGAGTGAGTGTGGCGACAAAAGCAATGCATTTTAATAATGATCTCTATCAGAGCCCCTGACAATTTGGTTCTGTAATCTGCTTATTATGTGATGGCTAGTTAAGCACACTGTGTGTGTGTGTGTGCACACAGGAGAGAGGGAGAGCTCCACCGATCAGGTTTGCCTTTTCTAAAGGCAAGAGGAAAAGTTAAAAAGCTAAACAGCAGTGCCACAAGGCGGATGACGGCAGGAATTACAGGAAGCCTACAAATTTTGGAAACTTGGATTTTTTTAAAACCTCTTTCAAATCAGACCAATGCCATCCCAAAATGGAAAAAATGCTTCCTATTAACAGTCAACACAACACGCATGGTGGCTTCTTCAAGACTGCAGCCTCAATATGTCTGAATGTAGGTCAGAGCCAAATACACAGTAAATGTAGTTGAGCATGTAAAACAGAAGAAAATAGACTTAAAAGGCGTAAATGTACACTTCCTGTTGTATATACAGACAGGTCAATGTGAGACGGAAAACAACCTGCTACTGATCAATCTTACCATCAGGAAACTAAATGACCTCGGTACTGGAACGTTATTCCCTGTTGATCTCAGAGGATGTGTTTGATGCCAGTTCTGTTCGACTGCTCAGCCCGGTTCTGTTTCCCAGTAATGGCAAATACAGTTAGCAGCAGTTAATTAGTGGTTCACTACTTTAGCTATCAGTTCAAGCTATCTGTTCAATCTAAAACTCTATAAATGAAACTCAGAGAGTTGAAGCTGAGCAGCCAGAGGACATCAGAGGGAAAAGCAGAAAATATTTTCTGATCCGGTTTCACCAAAATCACTGAATAAAGTTATAAAGTTGTGCTTTTTACAGTTCTCAGTGAGGCCCGGCCAGAATATGTAATATATCGCCCCTCAGAAACACTCGTCATACGAAAGAAAGTGTTTAATTGAATGCAAAATGATTAGAGCGCAGAATGAGTCATCAACCCTTTTTTAGGAAACTCTATAAATACTGAAAAATACCTAAAATGTACTTTTTTGTCATTGTTTGTCATTTACAAAAAAACATGCTGTGAAACTAGAGGGTTTTAGGCGGATAATCCAGTACCAGAAAAGCCCACTTTCACAAAGATTTGAACTTCCACAGGGTAAACTTTTTTCCTTTTTAAGTCTTGTCCAGGACTTGCAGACACCATGTCATTCCAGTGTTTTCCAGCTGCCATTCAGGTTCTTTCTGCCTCATCCTACAGCTTTCACACTCATTCAGGTGCCACTCACACATCGCAGAATGTCACCATGAAATTGCGCTATGTTAACAAAATCATAGTCACACACGCACACTAGAGCCATATGTGATTTGTGTGTTATTTACTGTTTCACATTCATAACACATACAGTCTGATGACAAGTCTCTCACTCTCAGAAGGAAAGAGTATGAGCCTATTTGTTAACTGTTAAAATGTTAACTAAATGTTAATTGAAACAAAACTATTTGTTTAAAGCAGGGGTCTCCAACATGTGTGTCCACAGAGCATGTTCTCTAATCTCTTAATCTTAAAAGGTTCACTGTGTAGGATTTAGCGGCATCCGTGTAAGTGACATTGAAACTCCTTCACTTCACCCTCCCCTTCCGAGCCCAAAGGAGAAATTACAGTGACTGTGAAAAGCACGAAAAATGCCAACACCCTACCAAGAGCCAGTGTTTGGTTTGTCCGTTCTGGGCTACTGAAGAAACATGGCAGGGTCTATGAAAGGCAACCTGCGGCATCTGTAGATAACAACAGCTCATTCTAAGGTAACACAAACACAATTCTGTGTCACAAATGGTGGCCTCGGCCCTTGCAAAAAGTTGCACTTTTAGATTTTCATGATATGCGTATGAATTAATTGGTTTACCTTGATTAGGCGAACTCAGTAAATTGACTTTCAGTTTATAAATGTAGATGAATGAGTTGGTTTCTGCTTGTGATGGCCTTTGCCATCAGTGTATGAATGTGTGTGAATGGGTGAATGTGGCATGTAGTGTACAGTGCATTGAGTGGTCTGAAGACTAGAAAGGCCCTATATAAGTGCAGTCCATTTACCATTATCAAAATGGTGTAGCCACCACAACCAGAGAACAACTAACTTCCACACTCCCAATTTCAAATCAAGGTGGTTTAACCTTGTGTATGAAACTGACTAAAGCTGATAAACGCCCCAATTTTATTTTATTGAAAGTATCAATTTAACATGGATGTCAAGTATAAATAGCACTGAAAAAGGTTGGAGACCCCAGCTTTAAATGAATGTGTGTGAATGTACTGTGACTGTGACAAACATGCTGAAACATGTCGGAGCAGCATGTTAAGTTGTGGTAAGACTGACCAGCCATCATGGCAACCAGGCTGGCTTTGTAGACATTGGTGAAGGTGCCCAGCTCTCCAATAGCCAGGATGGTCTTCATGTGGGCGTCACCACAGGCCTCCCGAAAACTGCAAATCTCATCATACATAGCTGTATAGGGAGACAGGAAACATTTGAACAAAGTGTCAACAAAAGGTCACATCATCAAAACTGAAAACACAGGACTGAACCTACTGAAATACAGAAAATGATCTAATTATTATTTGTTTTTTAGTGTCACCTAGAGCTATAAAATAATAATAATAAAATAATTTCTCAGCATCTGATAATTACATTAATTACTTAAACAGTACCCTGAGACAAAACAGTTATTTTTGCTTTTTAGTAAGAAGCAGAAATGGCTTTCATGTTTTCTTGTTGTTTGTAGCCATCTGACTCCAAACCAGAGGTTCTCCAAGTGAGAGAAAATTATTCACTTTTACAACTAAATCATTTTCCCTTTCTCTGACCTTGGAAACAGCAGTTGGCCAAACACTCTCCACTCACAGTCCTTCACCCACACTGCATAAATTCGCCTGGTCCATGCACATGGCCCAGATACAGCAATGAATTATGGTCCACATATGGGCCAGATCTGCTAGCCACATATGGCCCATGACATAGCCATGTCTCAACTAACTGTATGACCATAGATGGACCCATTCTGGCCCTATGTTGGGCCAGACACATTTCAGCACTGTTTTTTTGGCAATGGTTTAAAGTATTCAGTGTTCATGTCGTAGTGTTGAGCCGTACTGGCTCATTTAATTATAAGTCTACACGTGACTATATATGCAGTGCTGACAAGGGAAGAAGAGAGGAGGGACAGGGCTCGATATTAATTTTTTTTCTCAGCGTCTTGCAACTGTCCCAAACTCTACTTTCAACTGTCCCAGACTTAACCATTGTCCCAAACTAAGGTTAATTTCCATTCCACATAATGAACATACTTTGTTCCCTGCATTTATATGTAAATAAAAAGCTGAGGTGTACAATCAGTTGTCATTATTGTTACTGTTTCTTGTTTATTTCTAACCTTTGGATCAATAAATGCATCACTGCAAACTGCTCTGCAAATACAAACCAACTTCTAAAATTTACATTAAAACATTATTATTATTTTGCCGAACAATCACCAACCCACTACAGGGACATAAGGAGTACTAAACTAAAAAAAATGGAAGGGAGAAGACTAGACAAACTATTTAAATACTTACAAAACAAAACAACTATTTTTATGTAAGCCCTATCCAGAGAGAAAGAGTGAAAGTCAAAGTCAAACTCTGTTCATATTTTAGTTACACCCTGATCTACAGATCTAGAAAAAAAAAAAAGAGTGAGAGAGAAGGTCAAACAAACTTATTTAAATATTTACAAGATCAAACAAACCATTTACCTTTAAGCTATAGGAGCATGTAGGCCACAGATCCAGAGAGAAAGAGTGAGAGAGAAGGTCAAACAAACTAATTACATATTTACAAGCTATAGGAACACCCTAATCCAAAGATCTGTAGAGATCCCAAATTGGCTAGTAAACCAGACCACATATTAACTCTCCATACTCTAATTCAAAAACAAGTATACCAAAAAACTAAATATATGCTTGTTTTGTTGATTTCAAGGAAGCTTTTAATTCTATTTGGCACAATGGTCTTTTCTATCAGTTACTTCAAAATGGGAATGGAAGCAGAGTTTATGTTGTGATTAAATTTAAATACTTAGAAAATGAGTGCTGTAAAATGTGCTGTAAAAATTAGACAACATTTTTTCAACAATGTATTGGGGTCCATCAAGGACTTGACTTAGAAGGAAACAATCACAAACACAACAAGGAATGCGAGACCATTTGAACATACTTCATGATTACTGTGAACACTCGGCAATCAGAGTAAATCTAGATACAACTTATAAATTCTATTATTTAAAAAAAAAGCAAGATAACCAACTAAAAAATATCTGTTTATTTTGGAAGAGACAACACAGAGTCATACAACAGAGTATACATACCTAGGCCTCACTGTCACTGTTTCAGGACATTTTGTAAAGGCTGTAAGTGCATTGACAGATAAATAAGGAGCTTATTAGAGTATAAGAACATTCCTATTCAAATTAAACCCCCCAATAAAGATTTGTCCTAAAAATCTTTTTATATGGAAGTGAAGTTTGGGGCCCATTAATTAAACAAGAGGGCTGGGACTCAAACCCAATTGAAAAAGTACAGCTAGAGTTCTGTAAAAACATACTGAGAGTCTATAGAAACTGTCCAAACTAAATAAATTTAAAAAAGAACCACTTGTTAGAATCAGATTCAGATTTACACCAAGACAGAGCATACGTAGAGCAACAAAGCTATCTGAGCTCAAATACATTGTATGAACAAAATGAGGAAATGATATTCATATGCCAAAGTGATGCTACAAAAATAATTCCCTAATCACAAGATAATAAGACAAGATATTTCAAACAGAAATCCAATTAATAAATAAACTATAATGCTATAATGTACTAGACAGAGACTTTCAAATAGTAAAATATTTAACCAAAATTAAAGATCCTATAAAAGATAGATATAGACTCAGTGGCCACAACACTATTGAAACTGGGCACCATAAAAAAGAATGGCTAGAAAGAATAAAGATAATTTGCACCCATTGTGAGAAAATGAATTTCAGTTTCACAAGTTGTCTAAAATACAAAGAAAACTTCTTCCTCAAATTCGACCCAAAAAATCTTTTTTACCCTCAGAAAAGACCAACTAATTAAAAAAAAAAATATTTAAGGAGGCATGCAAAGTACTAATAATACTACTAGTAATGCCTTACTGCTTAACACTGATAACCGGTCACATGGCTACCAGATCTGGCCCACATGTGGTCTGTAATTCATTGCTGTATTGAGAATGAACAGAGACTGTCAAGCACAGCTTTTAACTTTCAACCATCGTGGATAATAAGTCCTAATCATGCTTGGCATAACAGGTTTCAACATCTACGGTACCATGACAACAGGGCATCGACGTCTGTTAAAGAAGACCATGTCATACAGTTGTAAGCCCTAAGAAATACACTGTTTTGTCAGTTTTCACTTTCCACTGCAATGATGGGCCATTCGTTTAAAACAACAGAAATGTAAGCTCTAAAAACACAGACTCTAAATTAAAAGTGATTTCTTTTCAAATCTCCTTGCTCTTGAGAAAGAATTCTAAAAACAAAAAGTTTTTAACTCAAAGAAGATGAGTTCTTGTGGACCTACAGGCCACATTCAGAGTAAATAAATTTACTTTGTGTGTCTTTCTCATTATGTGCTCAACACGTACCTTCCCACTGTCCTGTGAGGGCCAGCGTCCGGTTGATGACGATGTCAATCTCAGTGGCGCCGTCAGCCACTGCCATGCGCACTTCCTCTAGGCGGGTCTTCAGAGGTGTCTGGCCTGCTGGGAAACCAGTGGCCACTGGGAGATGATGGAGAACATACTGTCAGCAAAAGTATAAGAATTAAGGGCCGTCAACACCAAGAACAATAATGATGTGAGCATCCACACTGATGAACAATACCCCCTCTACGCACGCTGCGCGCTCCAGCAGTGTCGGCAGCTTAATGGGAAAATGTATTAAGTTATTGATGAGCTGTTACTGCTGTACATTGCAGAGAGAAACTAAAAGAAAACCAGAAGTATATGGGTTCATGAAGGGGAGTTAACACTCTCATTGGCGCTGGAAGGATCTTTACAAATATATATTTATAGTTATCGTTCTTGGTGTGGACAGCCTATTATTCATTTTCTACAGGTACACTACACTACACACTACACACTACACACTACACCATTCAATTCATTGCTGCAGTAAAGGGTTACTAGGTGTGATTCAGTGTCAGATTACTTACCTGAGGCAACAGGAAGGCTAGAATTGGCTGCTTTTAGCGATGTGACGGCATCAGCCACACGGGATGGATACACACACACTGCTGCTGTAGTAATTCCTGACCAACAACACAATACATGCAGCAGAGCAGTGAAGATAAAACAGTGATTAACTGGTCTGGGTTGCCCTCTGCAGGTTGATTTCAGGTGTGAACAGACAGTGCGACATCCAGAACAGGCTTCAGAGCTGCTGAGGGTCAAAGTTTACGGTCACCTTCACCTGATCGTCTGACTGCTCGTATTTATTCACCTTCTATTTGTGATGTAACCATGTTCGCAGATCTCTGCCATTAATTTGGTGAGTACAATGTTATTATGTCTTGCCTGTATTATGTCTTTAGACGAAACAATTAAGTCAGGATATTTAATCTTATATTAAAAACGGTACAATTAATTCAAATAGTGTACTGCAAGACGTTTGTGTAAAGTGAGTGACTTTGAATTATATCTGCTTTTGGGAAAACTTTTTATATAATTCTCATTTTTTTAACATCATACATACCTTCAGGCTTCTTCTTTAACCTTCCTCCCGGCACTAGGCCATTGTTCAATTAGACAATTCACTTTACATTACTTTTCTTATCTTACAGACTAATGTAATGTGATTACAGTAATGATTACTTTCTAATGCATTAAACCCAACATTTGTTTCAGTGTTAGTATAATGTGTTCAACATTTGAGTACTCCATTCTCTCTGTAGTCTGTATTATACTTAAGAAAAAATTAAACGGACTGTGTTATTATAGAGATTTTGTAAAGAGGAGTCTGTGAAATACTTTTTTTGGTGAAGCTGTAACACACACACACACACATCAGACAATATGGAGCTAAAATCAGTGCTCCAACAGAGAGGAAAACTCAGGATCTGGAGTGATGAGTAAAACAGGAAAGGCCGTGGGATAAAATAAATGTCTTATCTGATCAGATTACTTAGAGCGAATATCAGCCGGTAACATTCGGTGGCCGATCAGAGTGTTCTTATTAAAAAGCTCCAACTTATGACTGTGCGCTTTCATGTCAAAATTATCGTCACCAAAATAATTGCAATTCACAAACTGTCTCAATAATCATCAAAATCACTCATGTGAGGATATTCACAATTATCATAATAATTCACCATAATATATCGCAATATAATCGCCCCATCCAGACCAATAAGAAATAATATTTGATGTATATGTGTGTGTGATTTTTTAATCATCACGTGTCTGGCAGCAGTAGCAGACCTTTGTTGTGCATATCAATCTTCTTGAGCAGGTCGTATCGGATAGGCTGGATGGCTTTCATACACAGCCGATGGACGTTGGACGGTGTATCGTCTCCAGCCAGAGTTGTCAGGTCAATGCATGTGACAGCCTTCAGCAGCCAAGCAGCCTGTGGGACAAATAGCACCCAACATGGAAACAAACAGTGTTGGTGTCTCCCTCTTCAGAGCTAAATCTCACTTCTGTCAAAAGATTATCAGTGTGACATCTGTTTTCTTACATTATCTGTAGGTTTGGGTGATACATTGACATACTGTGAGACAGTATAAAATAGTCACACAGTTAATACTGTGGTATCCCCTTGATATCATTGGCTGCAGACAACTGTGGGTAATGTTTACAATTTGGAATTTGCTTGATCAACCAAAACAGATATTCCTGTCTCATTTATTTTCCAGAAAATATCACAATATAAATCATTACTGCAATACTGCAATATAAAATGACATGTACTGTGTACTGTGAAGGTTTTATACACATGACTCATTCCTAATTACTTTTGTTTTGTGACCATATTTGTAAGTTCAGATGTACAGAATAGAGAAAAATAAACATTAACATATGCATACAGGTACAGACATATACATCCATATTTATGTAAATAAAGTAGTATGGGCTACTTGTCACTATGTCCCAGTATGTACAATGGAGGTGAAAGCAGAGCTCTACCTGCCACTGTTTCTTGGGGATCTTCTGTCCTTGGATGTGCTGAGCTCTCTTCAGGACAGCCTGTGTGTTAACTCTCACTTTCGATATCAACTCCAGGTCTGACGGCCAGGGGCAGGAAATGTAGAAGAATAAAAAAAAAAAATGTCAGTGGGTTTACATTGAACTATTTTTGCCTTCTAAATTTTTGTCAGGTTGTAAAAGTTTCTTAAACAGCATTTATGACAACTTAACCACCGACCTTCTTTGCAACAATGAAACTATTTTATTGTAAGCAGCTTTAACATGAGCTGTCCAACATTAGAGGTAATGTGGTCAGATGAGAAAAATCAGTGACTTTAATCTTGGTGGATCTAACAGACACACCTCCAATGTGTTTAGCCTTAACACAAAGCACTAACATGCAACGTTTAAATAAGAAAGCTTTGGAGTTGTTGAAGAGTTGGGCCCTTTGGAGTAGTGGTCAACCAATATGGGTTTAGAAGCAGGAAAATGGACAAACATAAGGATTTGACGACTGGGTCAGATCATCTCCAAACCTGTAGCTCTTGTGGGATGGGTCTGCAGTAGATCAGAACCTATCAAAAGTGGTCCAATGAAGGAAAAGCTGTGAACTGGAGAGGGTCACGGGCTCACTGATGCACATGGGGACCGAAGACTGGCCCGTGTGGTCCGATCAAACAGGCGAGTATTTATATTTTGTATCAATAATATGAATCTGCAATATTTTAAATGTAGTGGAGTGGAATAGCATAAAATTAAAATACTCAACTGAAGTACGAGTACCTCAAAATTGTACAGTACTTTTTAACACTCAATCAGTGATTATTCTAAATTTTGAGGTTTATATTTTCGTATTTTTTTAAAATGTATATTGGCTCCAAATATCTGTTATCAGTTAGCTGAATATTAATAATCAGTATCTGCATCAGCTCTGAATAAAACATACTGGTCGCCCCTAAGGCCCTAATTCTCTCATGTGACTCTGGGTAAGTCAAACACAAACGGAAGATTTCCCAACTTTGTAATGCATTATGCATTCAAGTAAGTCTTTGACAGACCGGCTTGTTTATATGGAAAGGTGTCAGAGAATGATGATGGTGGAGCTGAGTGATTACTAGTGTTCAGCTGCTTTTTAACAGTGAAATTCAAGAACACTGATGCTGTTCATGTCAGGGCTGATTTACTGGACTATACTGAGCAGAGGCAGAGAAGGGTACAACTAGTCAGGTGAGCAGGGAGAGATAGGCTGTCATGAGTTCTCAATTACAGGGCCACTGTCTGACTGTAGTACAGCAGCCATGTCACTGTAATTATTTTTCACTTTAGTTGCTACATTCACACTGCAAACCATCGCGTTCAATTCTGATGTATTGCTCAGATCTGATTGTTCATGTGATGTGTGCTGTTCAAAGATCAGACCCCGAGAGAAAAGAAATTTGGTTCACTTTTTACTGCAGAGTGAAAGTAGCCATAGTGTTTTTCAGACTGGACTGCTGGCCGTTACAGTGTTACAGTGTTACAGTGTTACGGTAACATGTCGGTGCTCAGCAGGTCACTTACCTCTACCACTGAACTGTTACTTATTAAGCCGTCAGGAGCTGAGGCTAACGCGACGCTAGCTTTTCTTGACTGTTTTTAAGAAAACATGTATTTGTTATTAAACGGTGAAAGGTGAATTTACGTGCACGGCTATAATTAATAAAACGTTACAAGTTACGTGAAGGCTGGTAAAGTTTAAGTTGTAACGGGAGATGAGCACACGTGTTTGGAAGGACCTGACACTGACTTCAGTGTAACGGGGGCTGGTTGGAGTTTGAGCTTTCAGCTACTCACCGAACTTCGTCCCAGGGTTCCTGGCCGACATGTTAAAGGCTTTGACGAGCAGAGATTCAAATTCCACTGCGAGCCGAACTGACCTGTCAAAACTCCACTTCCGGACTACTCAACTGCTCCAGTTTCCGGTGCTCTTCAGCATAGAATGGTTACTACTTCCGGGATAGCTTCCGTTGTATGGAGGATACTTTTGGTCATAATTAAAATTATTCAAATTAAGAAGACAACATTAAAAAAGATTATTATTTTTACTACACGGTTGAGAATAATCGGGCCACAATTAAATTTAAAATGAAACCTGAAAAATGTAAAATGTAAAATGATAATTTAAAAAAGTGGCAGTGAAAAAAAAAGACATTTAAAACGTAAAATCTTAAATGGCAATAATCAAACTGAAAGCTCAAATCGTATGAATTATACCGTCATCATACCGTTTTATCTGTTAGGAACTGTTACCTTACTAAGAGTCATTACGTAATAAATTGTATGCTGAATAGCAGAACGGGACAGGATCTGCTTAAAGAGAGAGGTGTAGAGGTGTAGTGTTTCTCAGCCTCTTTGTGAACTCAGTTATGAATTGAAAGTTCCTTGTTGATGCTTTAAGGAAACTAAAATCACATTGTTAAGGTTAAAGAAATAATGTGGTCATGGTAATTAGCCAACACTATAAATATCCAGTTCATTTCCATTTCCAGTCTGAGGTGATTAATTAATGAACTAATTGAAGAAAATGAGTGGCATTTTGTGACAGTGGCAGTTCTGAGCACTAGTAGCGCTTTGGAGACCCTGTTTTGTTGTTCTTGTGTGCATACATTAGGATGCTCATCTTGACATGCATATAGGTGACATGATACATTTTCCTGCCAATGGTTTCACATGGGTCCACTCATCAACAGGTGGCAGTAATGTGTCAAAAAATGTAGCCAAGGAAGGCAGTGAAGAGGATGACTCCAAGCAAACTAATGATGTGAACAATGCAGGCCTCGAAGTTTGTTAATGTACAACCCTTGGAAAAGGCAGAAAATGCCCAAATATTGCACATTAAATGCAAATAGGCTCACTTCCTGTTGGGTATAGGATAAGGCTCTTTGATGCTCTCTATTCAGGTGATTATACACTAATGGAAACATAGCTATGAATATTATATTCCATTTCTGCCAATAAATCATCCTAAATATTACACACCGGACTTTGAAATTCCATCTGATCTCATTGTCAAAAACTGTTTAAAAAACACATGAACCAGTAGTCATGGCGCAACTAAAGGTAAGATCATTGCAGGTAAGCAGAGTTTATTACATAATCCACCAGACAAAGGACAATTATTGTTTGTACTTGTTTTTGTACTTCAGTCAACTTAGATAATGGGTAAGTAGGTAGTACAATGACAATTAAATACTATGTGATGAACATTTACATAGAAGATTAAAGCAAATTTTTCAGAGCGCTCAATCTGATGCCCCCTCTACACCAACAAGGATCATTGTTACTGTCCAGGCCAGGAGGCTCTTAGGTTGAGCAGAATCAACACATCACAGGGTGCCAAGCAATAAACCCCCAACTCATGCAATGCAGACTCTGGTGGAGGATCCTCCGTGCCTGCCCAATCTCTCGTCTCCTCCTCTGACTCTTTAAGGAGATTCCTCAGCAGAATAGCAGAGCCCACATTAAGACACAAGATGATACACGCCTCCTTGACACTGTGAAGAGATAGAGAAAATCTAATTACAATGCCGGTAGAATAAAGGTTTTCCTTTGTCAAGAGGTATGCTTAGTCTTTTACTGTAAAGCAAATTTACCTATTGGTAAAAATAAAGTTACCTGATTCAAAGAACACTAAATATGTACAAAGGACGTCCCGGAGGGGCTGTGAGCCGAGCTGCTGCTAACGTTAGCTTAGCTTGTTTCTCTGATAACTTAAGATCCAGACATCTGAACATAGGTCTAGTGTTTCTAGACATTTTAATGAGGAAATTACATATTATAGCTTTAATGTGAAGATACACATGTGCGTTCTATGTGCATTATGATGACTGTCTCTTTCTCGCTCACACACACACACACACACACAAACACACACACACACACACTTACTGCTTAAAGAAGTTCTCAGGTCTTTTGCAGTAGTGCCCAAACAGAGGAAATAGGTTTCTGGTCATGTCGAACTGAAGCTGAGCTGCCCCACCATCACTGAAATGATTAGACAGGATCACCTGACAGAGAAACACATGGAGATGTTGATACCGTTTCATTTTAAATGTTTGGTTAAGAATCCACAGTCCAGCTGTTTAGGTTTTTTCCTTACCTGCCCCTGTTTTACATACATCGGTGACTTATTTATGGACTTAAATGAAAAGTATGTCATTTCTACTGCATCAAAGCAATGCTCCAGAACGCTGTGAAGCATGGGATCATGGGAGTTGTTTTTTATTGTTAAACAACTGTGGATGAAAATCTATCTGAGAAATCATGCTCACGGAAAAGGTGATGTATTCAAGTTTTATATGTGCTACATTTAGTCCACAAATCTAGTTTAATTTATTTTTTTGTGGGGGATACAACGGGCAAACCTTCAGTCTTGGTGACAAGTTGGTGACAGGTTTAGGATTTTGGAATAACTGGAAAGATGCAGGCTCCCCCTTGTCCCCTTGTTCAAAATAAATTAAGAAATCAATAAAGGACTTTATGTTGGTGAGCTAGACAGCTTTTTCAAGTCAAACCATGTGAGGATATTCTCAATTATCCCAATAATAGAAATTCACAATGATAAATTGAGTGCTTTTTATCACAAAACACAAGAATATCATATATCATATATCCATCCCTAAGTAACAGCATAGTGCATCAAGCGTATTCGTTATAAACAACGTCAGAAATTACACTGAAATTGCATCTTCATCATCTACTTCATCTTACTGGGGCCTCTAAAATGTAGGAAGCATAATCAAGATTTAAAATTCTGCGTCTTTCCTTGCTGCTGAGTTACCATTTATGTGCCACTGTAGAATGTCTGAGTTATCTAAACCACCCCAAAACAGCCTGGCAGTATGTATGTACTTTGAGGTTTGTTTTCAATATTCTCTGGCACACAAATAGTATAGTGGGATTGTAGTGCTTATCAGCATCTTACATCCTGGTAGAGAAAGTTGTCCAGTCTTTCCGCCAGGCCCTGCCAGGCAAGTTGGAATAGAGAGAGACTCAGGACCTGATGAAGGTTCAACAGTCTGTCCCTCACACAGAGCATCATGGGACATGCTGAACTGGACAGGGTCATGGTGGACTGGTCATGCTGGGATGGTAGGGACAACCACCTAAAGAAAAGTAAAAGAGACATAAAAGATTAAAAGCAACACAGTGAATAAATCAGTGCTAACATTTACTCGTTGACCACCCTGATGATCAATGCAATTAGTAGCACAAAAACTGTGGGAAGAGATTCAGGGCAATAAAATAGTCATAGGCGATGATTTTCAAAGTTTAGATTTTCGTTCATAACAATTTTAAATCTCCTCTACCTCTGAAAGAATTCTGAAATTCTTAATTTGAGTCAAATGGTCACAAGGCTAACCAAAGCTTTGATTAGGGCAAGGAAACTTTATTTATATAGCACATTGCAAACACAGAGGCAATTGTGCTTTACATAAACAGAAAATAAGAATGACATTCAAAAAGAATCAGATCAGATAGATTTTCATCTGCAATGATGGTTGTTTAAAGGTCCAGTGTGTAACGCATTTAGGAGGATCTATTGTTCGAAATTGAATATAATATTCATAGGTATGTCATTAGTGTATAATCACCTGAATATAAAAATATTTCGTTTCATCAGATTAGAATGATCTCCTACAGACACCGTAGCTCGGCCACATTGAATCGCCATGTTCCTACAGTAACCCAGAACGGACAAACTAAACACTGACTGTAGTTTCTGCAGTTTCACAGCCATCGTAGTTTCTCCTACACACTTCACAGCCCGTTTTCATTCCACGGTTGTCAAATACAAACATGAAGTGTGTTCAGTTTGTGGCAATCTGCAACTTCACTGCTAGATGCCACTAAATCCTACACACTGGTCCTTTAAGTGTATTTTGCTGGCAGTGATAAGGAAGCAGGGACATCAGTGGAGAGGAAGGCATACCTGACACTGATTAGCTAAATAGGGGTGATAAAACTGTCAGATTATGCATGATGGCAGCATAGTTAAATATGTGGTTATATGTTGTTTACCTAACAAGTATTAAGAAAATTAAGTTTTGTATAATATATATTCAAGAAATGCGTGGTGCAGGCTGTTTTGACAAGAATTAGTTAGCATCATTTGATAGTGACCATACATTTCTGCTCTGTAAACCATATGTCCCATATTTCTAAACCCAAAAAGAAGATTTTTTTATTTTATATTATTTGGTTTCATGATGGCACTCCTTAGTTTTGCATTTATTAATTGGAATATATCCAACTGAAGTCTCCTTACAGTTAAGCTCAACAACTGGTGCATATTATGCAGACAAGATAGTCATGACATATAATTTTCATATCGTCCCATGTCTAGGCATAAAGCATGGAAGGTTGACGCTAATACACTGTTCCACCCCCTGCTGTACAGACCCTTCAACCAAGTAGGAGTCACTAACAGGGATGATGAATCCTCACCAGCTTCCAACCTGCAAACACTAAAAAAAGTGAACGTTGGAAGAACGTTGGCAGAACCAAGCCAGAGGTACCACTACTGGAATCAAACCTACTGTCTCTGCAGTGGTGGACAACAACTTTACTGTACAGTCCTAGGAGCACTTCTTATTCAAAAGTTAACATTAAAATTTCAATAAAAACGAATATATGTTACTGTTGTATGTTGATGTAAATTTAAGGCTACACTGTCCTTACCAGACCCACTGCAACTGAATATGGTTGGGATTTTCATCACTAGGATAGAGTTGTATTGTAGAGTTGTTGAGTATCTGTCCTCATCAACAGGCTGATGTCTCACCTGTCTTGGCAGTATGGTCTGGCTTTTTCTGTGATTTCCCTAATGGTCCATTCCAGAAGTCTTCCCATCATGTCTCCTTTAAGTCGATCCAGCAATGCCAGCAGACCTTCAAATAGAGAGCCCTCCAGAGAAGCCAGGCGACCCACCTCCATAATCCCCAGACCTCCCAGTAATACTTCCTCACCAAGTGAAACCGCTGCTTGCTGCAGCTGCAGGAAGAACTGGAGACATAAAAACAACAGTCAGCGAGAAGGTGAAAGACATACATTTCTGTGATGGTACAGAGTGCAGAGCATAGTTATTTTCCCGTACCGATTAAAATGTATCCAAGTCAAAACTGTCTGTACTGAAGGCTGACATTATATCCCGGCTTAGATTCCCACCATTTTATTTAAGTTCTGCAGTGGCTTGTGTTTAGAGGTTTAACATTAAATGTATTTATGTATTATTTATTGAATGAAAAATAAATATTTGTAGAATAACATGTTCATATTATTCAAAATAGGAATCGAGAAAAGTTTCATTTTGGAGATTACGTGTGAATCCATCTTGCCAGCCTTCACTCCTTACCCAGATTGGTTTGTATTTATGATGACCAAGCTACTGGGAAAAATTGAAAAATTGTGTGAAATTTCTTTATTGATGGCATAACTTAATCAAAGTGTACTTAATCTACTATACTACTACTACTTTTGGTTAGTATTTGTATAATCGTGAAGAAATTAGTGTAGCACGCTGTTTGACATCAACGTTTGAAAGTGACCATTTTAGATTTGGGTTGGCCTGTATATTATAAAATGGAGAGCCCCAAGTCAGGACTGACTTTATGCAGACAAGCGAATCTCAGTGAATACTGTGCTTGGGTTTTGAGTCTGTCTTCTGTCCAGCCATGACAACATCCTGCTGGATAAATAATAAATAAAATGAAGACATTTGACCAACGCCACACACCACATTGTCCCCCCAGTCTCCCAGGATGGTGCAGATGTAGTTGACAGCATTAAGGATGGCACAATAACGGGCACCCAGGGGGCAGCGAGACTCCTCCTTCATCACCTGGAAAGGAAAAAAAACTATATCAACCCCCTCCGCCTCATTCATTTATCTCACACACTTTATCTCCGTATTAAAACTGATTTCTGTCTGTAAATAATTACACAAACAATTTTGACAAAACAATGAAAAAGCAAGTACACTGGCCAAAACTCCACAACGAAAAACAACAAAACAACATGACAAAATAAAAAAGAAAAACTGTATAATCTGAAAATTTAGCTTGTTCACCAACCAGTCTTACAATATACAACCTAGTTTAAGTTAAATTACCAGCAGACTACAGTTTCTAATATTCCTATCCCACTTTTTACCAAGTGAAAAGCATTAATGAGAGGTCCACTGTGAGGACAGTTCACTGTATTACGAATTTCAGGTGAAATGTCCAGTCCATCATTTCCTCAATGTTTTCCTCATAATCATTAGCAGAGTGCCTCTCTCCTTCTTTACCAGTGATCCTGAAAAGCTCACTGTCCTTCCTACATCAAAGAAGTGTTTTTCCTTTATTAATACCAGAGTGTCTTTGTCTTTATTACCTGGGTGAGCCGTATACGGAAGTCATCCACCAGTTCTCTCTGTAGCCCCAGAAACTTCAGTTGTGCAGAAGGACAGGGCAAAGTCCGGTACCGTTCTGAGGACAGAAGGATGACAAAAAACACAAATGTTTTATGTGCTCTAACAGCATACATTACTACAATGTACCCTGTGCAGTTTCTGACCGCTATAGAGTAACACTTTTTGAGCAGGTCCCGAATTTTTTGTATGTTATGCACACAAGGACAGTTTCACACTCTACCATCAACATTTGGTGGTGGTACTGCACTAAGAAACACAGCAACGTGCCAGTAAATATATACACACAACTCAGCCATGTAGTCAGTAGCATTAAAAACTAGTGTCACAGCCATAATCACATAATCACAGTTGAGGGAGCAGCTAGTCACAACAAAGTGTAGAAAGCCAGCTTAACTACCTTGCACTAGTTATCTTATGATATATGAAATATTCTCATCATGACCTGCTCTGTACAGTTCACCTGAATGTTGCAATTTACTTTTTAAATAATAGAAAAACACATATTCTGTTTTACATGTATATGTTTAATTTTTTTTTCCAACAAACTAGTATATTGACAATAACTTCAAAAAGATCAGAATTGCTGAAATGAATAGCCTTACCAGTGATGACCTGTAGCAGAGTCATGAAAGTCTCAGCACAATCTGGAGCCTTCAGCTCATCCATATCGCTGATATCTTTGTATTGAGAGCTCCAAGCTCCCTCGGCCGACAGCATGGCGTCCATCTTCTCTACTGCCACTGTAGATACAGAGAAATATAACATTATTCTTGACAATACAGGACTCACGCTCACAAACAGTAATACAATTTACTGGCAGGTCTATTATTGACATATTTAACCCCAGCTCTATTCCTCCTTTTTTAATGATGCAGGGCTCATGATGAAGAGTCTCAGGTACCTTACAGGTGGGTGGTCAGCATTTACGGGACACTACAGGTAAGCACACTTTCATGAAGTGTTTGACTGTTCTCACTACAGCCATTTTTTTTCATTGCAGTACCAGCAGAGTGGTCTCCAGAAAATTGAATACACTTTGCTCACTGTAACATTAATTTGGCTACAGCCCATAAGTAACAGTTTCAATCAAGTAAAAAACAAATATATTTTAGTTTACAGAAAATTAATCTTCTGCAAAGTTAAAGTTTGTTGCACATGCCATTAAGATGGCTGTGTGTGTATTTATCAGTCACAAATGTAAATGTAATCATTAATAGGCTGTATTCATGTAGATATGGGTGGCTACAGTATTTGCACTGGGCTTCCTTGAGGATTCAAACAAAAATTCCTGAACAAAACACCTATAGTGAGTTTTTGTGTATCTGAATCAGGGGCTTAAGGACATTAAAAAATTTCCAGGACAACATAAAATTACCAGATATCCTGGAAATAATCTAATAAAATTCCATGACTGGAAAACTAGTCTCTAAATTTCCAGGTTTTCAAGGATGCTTGGGAACTCTGTTTGTAGCATGTTCTTATGGGATTGTGTGATCTCAATAAAACTTTATTCGTGTGCCATTGTTGGCATGCTAATCTTTTATTTCTGATACATTTTGAGTTTTGTGTATATTCAATTGAATTGAATTCAATTTTATTTTATTTGTATAGCGTCAATTCATAACAGAAGTTGATCTCAGGACCACTTTTCAAGTAGAGGGCAGGGTCTAGACCGTAATCCTTATAAAATTATTCCTAAGAGACTCAAAGGTTCCCACCATGAGCAAGCCCTCTACAGTTTGTTAACTGCTTAGCTTGTTTATCGATATGTCAGAACGATAATGATTTATCTGAAAATGTATTAATTGAAATACATACATTTCTTACAAAATGAATACACTGAAATACAGTGTCGTTAACAATGATGCAGCACAGCGTCCGCGTATCATATCATATCAGCTATTCCTAATTGACGTTATCTCTGTGACTGATTTAATAACAGGCCAAAAGGTGCTCTCTGCAAGCAGGTGTCAGTACTGAGCCAAACATTTTTGCTAGGAAATTAAATAACCTCCACTCTGGCCCTTTTTCCACCAAATTAGTTCAGGTTCTCGACTGTTTCGTTCAAGATTCTTGGAACTATGGTGCACGTTGATGTTTTGGTTTTTGTTTTTATTCTATGCAATAATTTAAAGGGGAACTTGGCAACTCTAGTCATTTCTTCGCTGTTTTTTTTGTCATGCATGTTTTCTCAACGAGCTCCCCCCTACAGCTATGGGGACGTGTATTCACAACGTCGTAAAAAACTCAGCTGACCCTCCTCCCCCTTCTAGCCGCTGCTTGATGTGCCTTTTTTTCGCCGGGCAACTTTTTCGTTGTGGAAGCAGATATCTACCGAGGTGGGTAAATACATTATACACTAACCGTTATTTGAATTGCCGAAAGGTTTCAGGCGGCGTTTTTTCTCGCGATACTTCCGTATCTCCAATTTACCGGGACGATATCAAAAGTTGCAAGGTTGTTTCCGCCTTGCCGGCTTGAGGTGTGGGCGGGGGTCACCCATTTTCACGGAACAGCGAAAGCGTCGCAGAATGATTTCGGTAACAGTTTATTAAGCTGAAAAAGTTGCCAAGTCCCCCTTTAAGCTTTATAGTTCTGAAGCAGAGCAGTTTGTATGCCATAACGCAAGTATATAATACAACTAAATTAAATTCTATCATACTTGACAACTTACTCTTCTTTTCCACAGTGAGCCACTTCTGAAGGATTGCATCCTCAAGCAGTAGGTTAAGCAGACCAGGCAGCACTGCTGGATACAACTGGTTGCTTCGCAGCTCCTTCTCAAACTGCAGCACCTCCTCCACCAAGTGACAAAAGATCATATCATCGTACAGCAGCCTAGAAGCATCACTGGCCACCTTCTCCTGAACCAGAGACAACAGGCCTCGACACAGCTCCACCTACACACACATACACATACAACAGTTACTGTACCCAGCTGATAGACAGCAGTGTATTGATGAAGTCCTTGATGGCTTAACACAGTTTCTAATCAAATTACATTTATTTTCACGTAAGTGACACCTGATAATTTGTACATTTCAATAAAGTGAAAAGAGGACTGTCAGTGGAAAGAAAATGCTGCTCATAACTGACATGACCACCAATCAGCCTTTCCTCAGATGTTGAATAAAGCTAAAGAGTTTTCATAAAGCCAGAGAAACCTCTTACATAGGACGTTTAGGAAACTAAGGTGCCAGTAAAACATGCGAAAAAACGAGACAGGCTCCATCTAGAGCCAGTGTTTGGATTGACCATTCTGAATTACTGTAGAAACATGGAGGTTAAACATGGCGGACTCTGTGGATGAGGACCCACTCCCTCTGTAGATAAAAACTGCTAATTCTATAGTAATGAAAACACGATTCTTATTTTCAGGTGATCAACACTAATGAAAACATACCTATGAATATTATATTCCATTTCTGATGACAGATCATCCTAAATGTTACATACTGGACCTTTAACGTATTCTATATTTCTTTTCAGTGCGTAGGATTTTGGTCTAGATAAAATCAGACTGAATAGCTGTTTGGACTACACTTAACCAGAGGGGCTCAAAGCAGTTGAGTAGAGCCTATTATGTAACAGCATACCCTAGCACTGATGGTGGCCCCAGCTCGCTCCAGGATGGGTTGGATCTTTTCCTCCATGAAGGTCGAACTGTTACTCATCCACATCAGAACTTGAGTGAGGTACCACTCTGGCTGAAAAATACACAGACAGAGATGGAGGTTTTTAAGCTTTGCCAAAGGCTAATGCAATAAACAAATTTTCTACTTATCCTCCGTGGGGACAACTAGTGTTTACATATGCAATGTGCTTTCTGTATGGCTAAAAGAAAAGAAATTGTGTTAAGATGTTTAAATAACTGAATGTAATGTATGAAGGATATGTATTGATGCATTATTATGGCGTAATCTAAAATTATTAAGTAATTAGCTACATAGTATTTAAATTTAGTTCAACAATTTATGTGCGGACAAATGTGTTGTCTAACTTGACTTGGATTACACCCATAGACTGAAGTTGGTCTATTTGTTTTCAGTGGTGTGTATAAACTTCAGAGAGCAAGTCTGACATTGGTGTATGTGTGCCATGTGTGTTTGAGAGACCTTGCCAAGGGAGTTGGTCTGTCGATTCCCATAGAAGTGGTATCTGAACCTCTTGCTGAGTGGTTGCAGCATGATCTGGATTGGAAGACAGAGGGGAGGAGCTTGGGACGGAGGTGTGGCTGAAGAAGCAGGCTGGACAGAGGGCACACTAGAGGCCAAAGCCCTCTGGGATAAGAGGTCATCACTGCCAGGAGAAGTTAAAGAAAGCAAACACTGGAGCACCTGCAGCGTTCCGAACACACAGCATCGTCAGTTCCAATCTTTAAGGACCTGCTTCTTGACATTACTTGTCATTTTTTGTTCACAAACACACTCAGTCTTCTAAGCATGTAGGAGAAGCTACAGTGAAAAATTCTAAAAACAACTCATTCTAAAAAATACAACTATTCTTATTTTCAGGTAATAATACACTAATGAAAAATTACCTATGAATATTATATTCATGGAGTGCTAACAGATTCTCTTAAATGTTTCCTAATGGACCTTTAAATCTACAATTGTCAAACCATAATTAAAGTAACTCAACCCACAACCCTCAATAACTATCACTATCAGGGTTTTATGCAAAAGTCCGTACTGGAACAGCCCTACTCAACACTCATCACTGATCTAAAAGCATATAGGGACTCTCTGGGGATTGGTTTCTAGCTTTATCAGAATCTTGGTTATGACCACAAATTCAAATTCTGCCAACATATTTTTGTTGTCAGTTGTCAGTTTTATGGTGGATTTTACCTTTTCAAAATAAGAGCTGCCTCAGGCTGGATCCCCAAGCATCTGTGATAGTACAATATCCACAGGCACTGCTCTTTTGCTCTACTGCACATATGTCTACTACTAATCAGGAAATAATAACCTTGTTACACATATAGGAGAACACACAATCTTACTTGCACACATTTTGTAACATGACACACAAAATATGTGCTTCTTGTCTACCAACAAGTAAAAAAAAAAAAAAATTCTGTTAATAATTTTCTGCTTGATTGGATATACAGCAAACTTATCATTGCTGTGACCACACACCCTGTATTCGGCCTTTTTTGCAGAAGTGGACAAGTGGCGAGTAATTTACGAGAGCTGAAATAAAACCTAACTACTCTCTGGGACTCAATCTCACTTTTTCACTACCTTTCTGTCTGTGCTTTGTGTGCTCAGTCTTTGTCACCATCTCCCTTTGATTCTCTCAGGAGATTGAATCCCCCCCTTTCTCTATCTATGTGTCGTCCTGTCTTTGGAGACAGCTCTCTGTACCTGTTCTTAGATCTCCGTGGGAGTGGCGATCGGAGGAAAAAAGATCTGGTCTAAAAATAGACTAATAGTGAAAGCCCACCCACTCTCAGGATTTTTTCCACCTCCACTGCCAATGTAAGTGTTTTGGGAGTGGAGGTGAAGGCAGACCACAAGCTAAGAGCCTGATGGGACATCTGTGATCCAGGATGCTTTAAAAACTTGAAAGACCATGTGAGGCAGTGTTGGAAAAAGATAAAATGCCTTCTTTGCTGCAAAATATCCACCTGTCACAATGTCAAAAAGATTGCAATGCAAAGAGAGTAATGCTTGATAAAATGTTGACTGATTGTTTACTGTCATTAATACTATGCTGTCATCCATCCTGAAACTGTGTTGACTTTGATTGGGTAAAATCCATACTGGTGGAGAATTTAAATTGAAGTGATGTATGATCCACAGAGACAGATCAATGTATTGTCTTTACATGTCCCTACCCAACAACGTAGAGACAGAGACAAAAACAGAAAAACTAATTCATGAAAACAGTAAACTGGGATGGAGATGCCGATAATGTCAAGTCTCTCAAACACACACACATATACACATAAAGTGTAGTAAAAGTAAATTTCCATAAAGTGTCTAATGGCTGCTTTGATTGCTGTTTTTCCAAAAGTACACAAGCTCTGGCAATCAGCAGCAGGCACAGTTCATTGGTTCAGCTGAATTTTGGCAGTGCTGGGCAGTTTGATGTGAGACCCTGTACTTCAGTGCATCAACCTTTGTGCACCAACACTGGGTTCTCATCGAAAATATTTTTATTGAAATTATGATGCATGGCAGAAGGAAAGCTACACAGAGAGGGCAAAGTTCAACCAAACTTCTAAAATATTACGAACATTTCTAGCTTGAAATTATTAGTTTTTATTTATTTTAATAAATAATGTATAAAACAGCAATGGAAATTCAAATTATGAAGTAAGCATGACTTTACTGGACTGGTCTGACCAAAACTGAATGGTATGTGTCACAGCCAGTACTTATTACAGAATATCAATTGTCTTCAGACATCACAATAAATGCCCATAAAAAGATGAATTTAAAACAATAATCAAGCCTTGAATGATGAAAAACTGATGAAAAACTGATGAAGCTGCCCCCAACTCAGGGAGACAAATTCAGTTTTTTTCACATAGCTAGAATCAGCAGCTGGCATTGCAATATGAGCAGCAAGTGCACTCTGCAATATTCTGGTTATTGTACAAGTAGGTATGAGTTACAAATGCTCATTTAGTAGGTGAGGTCTGGATTCAGCTGCCAATATGACAAGCATCTGTATTTAAAACAGTGCAAAGTACGGGAACGCACTGGAATTTAATTAATCCTTAAAAGCGGACACATAATGCTTGAGGCACACAGATTAAAATAGCGTCAATTCAGATGAAAACTTTCTCTGCAGACATGCTGCCGTTTCAGGCTGTCTGCCTCTTTATGTGTGCTGGGATGCAGTGAAGGGTGGAGCTGGGGGCTTGTGCTGGATTAACTGTCTTTGGCTTTGATTATACATATACTAGCTGGAGGTTTGGTTAAAGGTCATTCTGTGTAATCCATCAATACTGCATATGCACTAGACCCGTTCTCCCTTCTCATTAGGCTTAAACAGCACAGCATCCACAGAATATGACCGGTTATCACTAAGGACCTGCCACTGCAGCACCTATTGGTCAAGACACACTGCTAATGGTGAGCACTGATTGGCTCACTGGCAGATAATCAGGCTTCCAGCTGCAGAAAATCGCATGGACATTGTGCGTGAGTGTGTGTGCGCGTGCAGAGAGAATTGTGACTATTTCAAAGTTTCAGGGTGAACTTTAGGGGGCATTTGATTGTTATTCATCAATGTGTGTGTCCTTTCTGAGATTTTTGTACTTCAAAAGAACCTCTCCCCAGCACCGCAGGGGTGGTGATGGTGGAGATGAACTCAAGGTCATGGGGTGGATTCACACACACACACACACACACACTCAAGCACACATACCTATAGAGAAAACAAAAACAACTTTCCTTCTCACATCTTTTAGTTTTGTGTTGACTGTAGCAGGTTTCACTGCAAACCACACACACACACAAAAACACACATATCCCAAGCCAATCCTAAAGAAGAAAGCAAAATTTAATGGATCAAATTGGCTAAAATAAACCTGATAAAACGCAGAGCCTTTACCTCAACCCCAAACTGACCACTACCGACACATGGATTGGCAAAAAACATGGATTGGTTGAACAGACGCTGACTAATCTCTCATTTAATCTTTCATCTCAGCCCTCTCTTTCTTGTTAGCACACAAGAAAATAACAAAAGACAAAGTCTGATGACGCGTTAGGATTCCATCAGTGTTCATCACTCAAGAGGTTTTTACCATTTTTATCCGCAGAGGGCTTGTTTCTTTGATAACTTAAGATCCAGACGTCCAATGAAATTCTTCATCTGCTTAAAATGTAGTTAAAAACGACCAAGATCTGAAAAGTGCTTCAGCTTCTGGCAACCACAATGCATGCACAAAAGGGATATGACGCCATTGACAGACGACCACTGAAACGCATCGTTATGCGGAACTCTTATTATACCTTTAAGCGACAGTGAGTAAAGTTAATTTTGTAAAACAATTCCTAAATTGGATTAATATTATAATGAAAAACATTTGACTTAAATGTGACTTTAAAAGCAAGAGCAATGTGCAGTTTCAGCCAGTGTCTGCACTAATGTCAGTGTGTGTGTGCCTGGGGGCTTCGATTATTGTATGAACCCGGTGTCAGCACTGATGTGTGTATTTGTGTGTACGTGTGTGTGTG